CTACCAGGCACTTTGGGCAAGTCAGATGTTTGGGGTATTTTTATTATCAGGTTTTTTCCCACATTTTTCTTGAGTGTTCCCAAGGTCTTGCTTATCTGGCAGCAGTGCCCTCCCCAAGGTTATTGTGCTTTGACTGCGAGGGGGAAGAGAGACCTGAGATCACATAGCAGCATATTGATTTGAAGCAGGTGCAGCTTTGAGACAGTTTCTGCTATCTCAACCACCTCCCACATTCCCGTCTGGATTGCAAACTTTCTTTATTTTTTCCTCCCCCTTTCCCCTCTCATCAGGAAAAATTTACAAAGCTTGTCCTTCATCTCTTTCCAAAGGTAAAGCTTGTGGAAGGAAAATAGTCAGGAGATGTGGAACCTCATGAGGGTTTATTTCCCTGCACTTAAAGCTGTCAGCTGTCAGGGGTGGGATTTCCTCTTGGTTTCTCATAAGCGTAGAAAGTAATTTTTTTGTGATTTACCTGGTTGGTTCCTTTGTTTTCTAGAAGGGACAACATTTTCCCCTTTAAAATGTACTGTTTGTTCTCCTTTATATCATGCAATGGTGATGGCATGTGAAATGGTTATGCTGTCTGAAGTATAACTCTCATGATAGAAGACTAGGTATAGAGAATATGCTTGACAGAGCTGGACAGCCCTCAGCACTACTGCTATTTCTTCCCACTATGCAGGAGATGTGATTAGGGTGCATAAAACACAAAAGGGATCTGCCTTTTTCTTAAGAAGAGATGCAAGTAGATCCCATTGCCTCTGTTGACTTGGTTCAAGAACTGGGAAACAACAGTCATGGGGGTGTTTGACAACAAACCTGCACTGCTTGAAGGAGTCTTGTAAAGAGAAGTGTTTGCTTCCTGGAGATGAAATACACTGTACTTACAAAAGCAAGTCCTTATGTCACCCTCCATGTTAGACTGACATTTCCAAACATACATCTGTTGTCGCAGGGGAACATCAGTCCAGCCAGCACTCATCAACAGCACGTTGGGTGAGGGACCGAGTGACCAGTCAGCTCAGAAAGCCAGCTCACCAGGGCTTGCTCTCACATGTCAAGTCAGTCCCTGTCTCCACGTGCAGCTGCCACTGCAGTGGCCTGAGATGGCAGCTTGCTGCTCAGAAATAGCTGGCAAGGCTGCAGGGGAGACCAGTGGGACACATGATGCCTGTCAACTCCTGGCTAAATCTTGACAGACTTATTTTTTCTGCTTTTTATCTGACTTTATAAGCTACCCTTGGTAGCTTGATGGTTTAATAGATCACTTGGGCAATTCTGTTAGATGATTGTCTTAAATTCTTGGTTTTGCAACATGACTCCCTAAAGGATTGCTGTCTCAAGGCTAGAGCAGGGACCTTCAAGTCCAAGCCCTATTTGGGAAGTGGTATCCAGCAATGGCTGGGAGAGGCTACACTGCCTAGATGAAGTGTTTCTCCTGCTCTTGTGCAGATGGGGCACAGGAATTTCCCATGGCACTTGTAAAGAAGTGATGCAGTGGTAATTCTGGCCAGACTGCTTGCAGTGCAAGTAATGTCCAGAGCTGCAGCTGCACTTTTAAAAATTATACAAGTAGTGCATTTACTTTGTGTATTCAGGGAACCAGCAATACTGAGCTCATTACCATGTAAAAAATGTTACAAAATGGAAAGTTATTTCAGCGTAAGGCTGGAAAGGCTCAGATTTCTTGCCAGCAGTGTCAGGTATGTCAGGGAGATCATGCATGTGTATTAAGTGCATCGCTAGAGTTGGTGGCGCACTGGGAAATCTCAGTCTTTAATGAGAGTGTCCTTCCTTTCCATCATGTGATGAAAAGGTGGAACAAAAGCAGTTCCTCAGTAAAATAAAAAGTGAAAGACCAGTGGGTTGCAATGATCCAAAGTGAGCTAAAAATCCATAATAGAGGAGGACAAGCCAATTTGCATAAGTTGCACAGAGCAACTATATCCAAACCTGCACCTTTGTTGATAAACTCATTGCTTGGACTTCCACTGAATATGGCCAGTTGCGAGACCTCCAGTAGCTTTCAATGTATTTATGAAATGAGGAGCTGCTAAACCCTAGCTGTAGGTTCTCCCTAGAAAGTTGCAGATTCTAGAAAGTATAGCAGTAAATAGCTTGGTGGCAAAGAACAGGGTAGGCTAAATATTAAAACAAATGTCACAGCCACTGGCATTTCCCATCCTGCAGCTAGATTTGTTGTGTAAGTGGGCTCAACACACACTGCAGCCACAATTTTAGCAGAAATCTTTATGGTGCAGTCTCAGTGGGAATTTTGGCTGCAGCAATGTAAGCTGTCCTGTACTGTTGCAAATTGGAAGGCAATCTTTGCTGACCTGAGCAACTGACTCAGACTTCCAATAGGTGCTTCAGAAATGCAGTGTTGTGTATCATTCCTGCCTCCAGTCCAGAGCTTCTTCAAAGCAAGCCCTTTGAATTCTTACAATTAAGCACTAAAGTTTGCTTCTGAAGCTATGCATATCCCTCCTTTTCCTATGCCCAACCTTCTTCCTTCATTAGCATTCAAAGCCTGTTCCAAGATGTGAAAAGCAGAGAAAATGCTTCAAACCAATTAGCCAACTGCAGTGGCAGTGTGGCTGTGGTGGTGCAATAGTCCTGTTTCAGGGAAGGGCTTCAGTTACGAAGTCACCTTGTGGTTTATTTCATCTCGGGATTGAATCAATTTTTTCCCATTCTCACCACCAGATACTGAGTTTATACTGTTTTAAGGTCAAATACATGAAGTTGTCTTGACATGAGCAAGAATGATAGTTGTCACTGGCATGCAGGCAGGTTGTATGGCCAGCCTGGTGTGTTCTCCTTTGCCTCTGTCTGTCTGGCAATGAAAGCTGTATGTTATTTTCTAAATATGTTGTCACTGTGTTTCGGAGCAGACCCAGTTGTCTGACCATGGGGAAAGAAACCATTTCAAGTCCAAAGACAGTAAAAAAATTAATCACGTCTAGCAAAAGGTTAATAAAAATACCCCTGTCACCCACCAACCCCACAGCACCTCAGCCCCACAGCACCTTCCTGCCCACCTCAGCACCCCCTCCCACCAGCACTCTCCATGTGCTGGCTGCTGCAATGAGGACCACTAAGAGAAAGAAGGCTCTGGAGACCCCTCAGGCCCTTTACTGTTGATGGGCTACCCCACTTACTCATCAGTCTCCTTGTGGTCCTGAAAAATCACATAGTTAGGCAGGGGCTTTTCACCAGTAATTATAAAGAACTCATTAGGAGGACATGGAGTCTCCTTGGAAACCTTAAGAAATAACAGTACAGGTAAACTGGTTGGGTTTAAATCAACTGAGTCCTGAGTTTCTGCTAGTTGAAGTATTTAGGAGGGAACTGATGTTGAGAATCCTTATTCACACCAGAGAAATATAAACCTTTTGACAACCATATCCACGATGTGTATTATTTTCCCTTCTCTTGTCTTAGGGCATACTTGGCTCATGGTATCCTGCATAAATAGAACAAATGTCCCACAGCTGGATGTGAAATCTTATGGCAATTCTGTACGTGAGGAGTGTGAAACTGTGCCCTCCCATGTGTTTTTTTCTGAAGCAAGAAGGGTGACATTTGCTAAATGGCTTTATATGAGTGTTTCTATTGCAAAATCTTGCGCTGTCCTTCAGTTAGCTAGTGCTGCACAAATGAGGATCTGTCAAGACTAAAAGCAAGTATGGAAATTAACCAGTAAAAATTGTTCCACGCCAGGTTGTAGCTCAAAGGATACATTTATGCTGTGTCGTAGGAAAACCAGTGGCAGTTATGCCCCTCTTAGGACTACACCGAATAGTGTAAGAAAGCTGAATTAAGCAGTTCTTCTGTGTATAGACAGGTCATTGCTAATTACCCATGTTGGTGAAGATAAGGGAATTCTGCTTGGCTTGTTAACACACTGAAATAAGCTGTGCGACTTCTGTCTGGTTTGGTTCTTCTAAAGTTTCATGTACAATGGCTTTAGGATAGGAGAGAATATTTCATGTTGTATAAGTCAGTATAGATAAAACTGCTCATTAACTCTGTAAAAGTGCTTCCTTGGGCAAAGTCTAAGAGAAATGCCCAGGATGCCTGTTTTTCTCTTGAGTTCCTTTTGTGTGTTCTGAGTCATTATTTGGTCAAAGTATTTTGATTTTATTTTCTTTGTGTTTGGGATAATATCTATTACAAAACTAGGCATAACTAGGAGAAGAGCTGACTGTGTTAAGGGATTCTCAGCAGGAAAGTAAAACTAAGGAAGGAAATTAGAAAAGGGTATGTGTTAAGTTTTGCTGCAATGAAACACTACTTTGTAAGTTTGAATATACACATACTAGGTTCTCTTAGAGCAAACTGATAACAGGAGTTAGACTTGCTAGGAGAAGAAAGAACCCAAAAGAGAAACTCACCCAATGTAAGATGTAGCCATCCACATCTGAGCTAGTCATGTAACCTCCTGCACAGTCACCAGAGGTATGGGCTTTTTCAGGATATTAGCAGGTTTGCTTGCTTAAATACATGTCTTAAGTGGAGATGAAATGTGTCTCAAGTATCAGTTCCTTTCTGTAAAGAGGGGGGGAATGCTGGGTGATAGTCCAGGTATCTAGGAGTGGTAAAATGAAACCTAATCTATGGGACAGTTTCTGGTGTTTATTTCTTCCTTCTAGAGGCATCCCAGTAGCTTCAGACAGGCTAGGCACCTGCTTATAATCTGGAGACTTAAGAGAGTTGCAGTCTTTGCAGAATAACACTGATTATCAAATAATGTGTGCCAGCTTTTGGGGTGAGGGCCATCTCTTTGTCTGGTGTTTATACAGCCCTAGGCACAGCAGGATCCTGCCCCGGGATGGACCTCCCGTACACTACCACAGCACAGATAATCAATAATAGCAGCCTTACTTAGAACTTTGATCAGTCTCTCTTCCTTCTAATTTGCTGTGTTTTAAATCTCTGTGATGTCTAAATGAGGTTTGATAACAATTCTCTGTCTCTCATTTCCTCCCGTCCCACAGGAGCACATTTACAAGCTGATGAAGAGTGACAGCTATGCGCGCTTCCTCCGTTCCAGTGCTTACCAGGACTTACTGCTGGCGAAGAAGAAGGTATCTGTTGGAAAGGACACGCTTGCATCTCTTAGCACCTCTTGATTCTCACCTGCTGCTTGCTGCTAGTGTGAAAATGAAAATACTGTTTCCTTTTTTTTTTCTTAAAGAAGGGAATTGAGCACTTTTGTCTTCTTCACTGGGGGCACAGGGTATGGCATCCATGTGCACAGCCTCAGCACGAGTTTTGGGGAAAATATGGTGACCCAAGGTAAAAATAATATTGAAAGGTGTTTGTCTTGCACAGTTGTCTCCGAAACTCAATGTAGGCAATTAAAATTGTATTGCCTCTTTCTCATGGAAAAGATGGTGTGTGGTATGAGAAGCAGAACCCATCAATCTATTCATTACTGGTGCAAAATTCACCCATTAAGGTTTTCACCTGCCTAGCCTCACCATGTGATATTTCCTTTGGATGCCTTACCTATAAATTCCTCTTCAGGGATTTCCATACTCCTGTTCTCCCTTTCCCTTGCTTTTGCCTGCCTAGAGATGTTTCATTTTCCTCAGAGACAGGAAATAATTACAACACATGTAGTAATCAAGAATTCCAACCACATTGTCTCACAGGAGATCTGGATTTGAGCTCTTCTTAACCTTTTAGTATCTGCATGAGTTCTGCCAGCACCGTGATTCTGTCAGGAGCCCCCAGATTAGGGCAACAAAGGAGTGATTACAGTTACAACTCCTGTCCCTGTGCCTCTTCTTTCTAAGAGGTCTGGGAGATAAGCTACTGATCTCTGCATTTGTGACTGTGCTCAAATGCTTCCTGCACTTCCTGACTAATTTCCATAGGTCTGTGTGTCTGTCTGTGTGCATGTGCATGCCATGTACATGTGTATGTGTCCCACTTACATTTGGCTTCCAGGACCCTATGTAAACTGAGTCCTGACTCCTGCAGCCTGAGTGTGTGGTTTCCCGTCACCATCTTCCCTGCTGTTTTTCTGCTGCATTCTCTGTGTGCTGCCAAATTACATTGCATCGACACAATACAATGAAATCCCAGTGGTATTTTTGTCCTGGTTGTCATTGTGTGCCCTAAAAGCATGCATATGGTGACAAAAGGAGACAAGTCTCTCTGTCTGCTGTGCCAGAACTACTGGAAGGTGGTTAGGGGAAGTTAGTGGAGGGCAGCAATCAGCCTTCTGTTTCAAAATGTCTGGTCTATGACAGCATAAGCCAGTGCAGGTTAGACCTGACTTAGAGTTCAGAAGCTGTAGGGAAAGAAGGAAGTATAAGGCAAAGTCTTCTGATGGTATAAAGCATAAAAAGCTCTGCCGTCTTCCTACCCCTAGCAGTTTGTGGTTCCCCTCACCATTGAACACATGAGGATTTGAGTGCCTGAAAGCCAGGAGAGTTTTCTCCTCCCAGCCAAGCCCATTCAAACTGGAGGTTTATTTCTCTGCAGTCCTTGTTTGCTCTCAGATCAAGCCCTGGATGTGTCAGTGTGACATCCTCATTCCCCTGCAAACTGCCGGAGGAGCAGGTTTTGGTGTCATGTTAACACAGCCATGAAAGTAAGAATCACGTTTCTTGTAGAAAGAGCTGTGAGTGCACGAGTAAATATATCAAAGCACAAAAAAGGCAGGAGTAGATCTGTGCAGATGTGCTGTTCACGAGCTTCACATGATGTGGGAGGGGAGTTGGTGTTACTCTGGAGTCTGTAAAGCTCTGTGCAACCACATTGCATTATGTTGGACAAGTGAATGTTTTGGAAAGAGTGTAGGTACAGAAGTGCTGATAGAAAGAACAAGAAATTTCTGTGCACTGAGCTACATGGTCCTATCTTGAGGACCTTTGGTGCAGCTTTGTGAGGCATTCTTTTAAAATTCCTCTAAATAGCTGGAAAGCAGAGGGAAGGAAAAGAGAAACTCAGTGGCATATCAGAGCCTGTGTGGCAAAAGGATTTGGTTTAGAACCTGGAAACAAAGTCCTGGATTCACTGATATGAATAGAAATTCACTGCAGTTCTTTAAGTCTTGATGAGTACATCTCTCTGAGGCATGTCTGTCCTCAAGACATTATCTTCACATTGCCTGTGTACCACACTGTATGACATAGCCTTAGTTTTATTACTGAAAATAAGTTCTGTCAGAAGCACAGCATGATGGACATGGGATAAAAGAGTTGCTTCCACTAAGCAAATAAACTATGGCTTTAGATTCACACGTGAATATTTTGTGGATAAGTTTATGTTATTTGATCTTTTACCCTTTGGCACTGAGTTGTGGCTGACTGAGTGGGCAGGAAAAGGGGAAATGTTGACTGTGTGGCTAGAGCACAGGACTGGGAGCCATAAAAATCCATGTGCTTCCCCTGGTTCCCCCAACTAATTTCTTGTGTGAGCTTGGTGAAAAGAAGGTTCAACTTTGCCTGCCTCATATCCTCCTCTTTGTCAAATGGCAATAATAATAGTGACCTGATCAGCTTGAAGCCAAAGCTTGATTAGTGATTCCAAACATGCTTGACATTTTTAATATTTGTAAGATACTGTAAATGTGAAGAGTTATTTTCTTCCACACCATACAATAACCACAGATGTGGAGCTTCCCTTCCCTGCTCTGGGAGTAAAGCAATGGAGAGGAAGAAGAGAGAAGAAATTATGGGTCAGGATTGAGATACAATGACAGAATTATGAGAGAAACATACTGTTCACACCACTAACGGATACAAGACAGCAGACACAGGTTGTATGCAGACCAGGCATACATACTTTGTTAATCCATTTAAGATTTTTTTTTCTTCATTCTTCCCAGTGTCATTATTGCAAATAACCACAGTTTTATTGGCCTCAATCCTGCAGATTCATGGTGCTCAGCAGGGAATATGAGGTTGGCCTCTAGCAAGGGTGTGATTGGAAGCAGCGAGCTGCAGAGAGGGAAAGCTGGGTGTAGCTTTCTGCCTCCAACAGAAGTCCTCTTCCCTGCCAGGCTGGAGACGAGGGTGGAGCCCTGTCCTCAGGAGGAATGGCCATATGCCCAGCCCAATTTGAGTTCTGTGCATTCATGCCCATCCCCCTCTCTGCAGCAGGTAGAAATTGTGGGGCTGCTGAAAGCATCTGGTTTAGCAGTGAAAGGCTGGATGGTGCTGAGATCCCCAACCAATTTACTGCATTTTATTCGTGTATCTACAAAACATGCCCCACTTGTGCTGTGCAAAGTCAAGTGTCGACCTGCTGCTATTTCTGCTGATATGCAAGTTACTGCAGGGTACTGTACAGCAGGTAATCACCACTGCACTGCCCTCCAGCCCTTCTCCACAGCAGCCAAGATGGTGGCTGGATGTCCTTAGACAGCAGCGAGCCACCCATCAGGACAAGTGCTGTGACAAATCTCCTCACTCAAGGCAAGGAGGCATTTAGGTAGGGTGACTTGGATGCAGAGCAGAGTTTTATTCCCTGGGGAAAGAGCAGTGTAGATCAGTTATGCACAGGAACTTTTGTTAATGGTGAAGGAGCAGCCAGACATGAGCTCTGCTAGTTATTTTTGTGGAGAAGGGAGAGAAAGAAACAGAAAAGACCTTGAGGCACCTTCCATTACTCACCGTAAAGGTGAAACAATGACATTGGTCGGCATCTCTGCATTAGCTGAAGCGGCAGCTGAACTGTCACAGTCCCGGTGTTCATGTCAGCCTGGCATGGGGTGGCTTCCTGCCATCCTGCCCTGCCTGCAGGCAGGGAAGCATCCTGGAAAGGCACCAACGGCTGCAGTGCAGCCAGGTTGCAAAGTCATGGGAGTAAGCCCTGCCACACTGAGGGAAGAGCAGGTTGGTATTTGCTTGGTTTAGAGCATTGTTTTCTTCTCCAGCTGGTTCAGAGAAGTGTGAATTCACCATGGTCCTGTTCAAATGGACACAAAATATATGCAAAATACTGTTCTGGTCACTTGGTAGTGCCTTTGTTTTCTCACTTTGGACAGCTAGACATGACTGCCTGAGAAGCCCAGGACCCTGGGCATTGGTCAGGGAAGTAATTATCCTTTATTTTCATCTGATGCCATTCCCTCTGGAACACATCTTTTTCACCAAGTTAAAGTTCAAAATAAACCCCACTCCACACCCCAAAGTCTCATACCAAAAGAAGAATTTGATAGCTGACAAAATAAACCCAGAGATGCGGGGAGTGAAGGAGGGAGGGAGAGATTTTTGCAGACCTGAAGTTCAGAAGACCAAGTTTTTATATGTATTTCTCTACCCCTTTTCAGATCCCTGGCAAAAAGTGTCAGCAAGGGAATGGTTAGGACCTTCATGCCAGGAGGGACAGGCTCCATTTTCTGCACACACCTTTCGAAGCATTGCTTTTATCCAGACCACTGTGCTGACTGCTCTGTATTGTCCAGGAAGGTTCCTAATGCAGATTATGCCCCCATCTCAGTCCCATGGACAGTTTGATTCAGTGGCAGGACTTGCTTTGCATGTTGTAAAGATGCTGAGCGCTTTTCTCATAATTACTTTTAATAATCAGTGTCAGCTGGCTTTCTTAATTTTTTTCTGCTTAAACTCTGTGCCAGCAGAATCTACACAAAGGAACTTTGAATGGCTGTGTAAATAATTAATCATTAGAAAAGGAAAATTTGGAGAAGAAACTCAATAATCAGTGAATGGCTTCTAAGTGGCAAAATCTGGTTTTCTGTATCTACCTGGGCTGAGAGGTTTTCAGTAGCAGCGGGGATAGTTGTTTCATATTTTATCCAAATGCACATGTCCTTTGCCATTAGATGGTAGAGTCTCTTGGTGTATTTACTGGCAAAGTTTGCTTTTTTTGTACCTAGGAAGACTACATGACTGGCATGCACATTCTCTGCCTTTGCCCCTTTGCACACACAGTGCATGTTTGTGCAAATGCTGCTGTGGTGCTGCAGCAGGCACGGCTCCAGGGTCCACACGCCAGGTCTGTTCCCAGGACTGAGATAGATCTGACTCCGTCTCTCTATTTTATTTTTTTTTTTTTTACTTTGTTATTTTTAAATTTCCTTCATTTACTGTGCAAGGCAGCCTCCCCACCTCTGCACCGTGGTGGAGAGATGTGGGCAGGCAGTTCCATCCACAGCAGGCTGCCAGCCACAGGGGCAAGAAGACAGGAAGAGCCAGTGAGCCATACAGCCAGCACCCACACCCACAGACATTAAAACTGCTCCAGCCGGCTCATCACTCTGCAGCCAGCCGGCCTCAGCTGCTTTTTATTTTACTAGAAAATGTCATGCTTTGACTCAGAGCTGGATGCTATAGGGATGAGCTTTCCATGCATCCAGCTGGTCCCAGCCTGCCACCAACATGCCAAATATGTAGAGTGACTGCAGACTGTGCTTTGCAAGGTGCTTCTGTAAGACACTGTCAGTGCTCCCCATGGCTGCTTCCCCACACGTCTTCAGTTGTGGTAGGCAGCAAACAGCCTTGTGGGGGGCTCCCTGTGCCAGACAAGCTCTCAGCACCCCAACAACATGCTCACCATCTTTGAAGACCACTATCTTGCCTTTCTTCTGGGTGGGAAGCTGCCTCACCTTGCAGGTAGAAAAAGCAGAGGCACTAAATTTTGATGGCAAGTGCAGGGACACAGCGCAATTTGCATTCAGCAGCTCACTCTCTTTTGCCCCCAGTGCACACCAAACATTCACTTCAAAATGCAGTTGGGCGAGACACTGATTTTTCCAACCCGCAGCAATGCAACGCTGCAAACTCCAAGTGCCTTGCTCCCCTAGGGATCCTTGCAAAACACTCGGTCTTTTGTCCAGGTATTTCTTCTCCTGAATGAAATTGTGTCTTTAATTTGGCTGCCCAGCTGGGCACTCCTGTCCTTAATCCTGCTCACTGAGACACGTTCAGCCAAGGTGGCAGGACTGCAGGCTCTCCCTGTCACCTCTGCTGTTTCGGGGTGTGGGGACACCTCTGAAGCTCCTTGAAAGAGGGGATCTGCGATGCCCTGAGCACTTACACTGCTGTAATACTCAGCAGAAGAGTGATGTTTCTTTCCCCTTTCTCCTCCTCTCACATGCAAGGAGAGGCAACTAACCCCTGGGTTAGTGCATGTTAAATACTCCTTTAGGGACCATTGGACTGGGTACAACACTGCCTTCCTGCCAGCCAGGAAGTCTGTTTGGTTGCTTGGTGCTTGCTTTGAGGCCTTGGCTCTGTTCTCCATGTGGGCTAAAATGACATGCCTCTAGCTTTCACTTTTGATACCACTTCTGGGACATCAGAGCTGATGGTGTGGCTTCCTCAAACAGTTATAAGTGGGGAGGTTGCTTGACTCTTTCATCTGGACAAAGAATATTGCTTGTCTTAAAAGAGCCTTATATTTTGGTCTCATCTTTGGTGATGTGGCAGGGACAATCTGCCTCATCTCTGCCTGGGATGCTTCAGACTAACCTTATAGACATCAGAGAGCTGTGAAAGCTGGGATGAACATGCAGAAGAATCAAAAGGCTTTGCCTAGACTCACCTACAAAAGTTCTCATCTTATTTATCTGAGCTTTTGGCTTCCTTACATCTTCTCCATCTGATATTTGCACTGATGCTTTGTTCTGGGGGTTGTTACTGCAGCTGAATCTGTGGCAGATGATATGTCAGCTATTGTCTCTCCAGTTCAATGCTTATTTCCACTGCACTCTCATGCACCATCATTGCTGTGGTTTTCCCTTGTATGTAGCTCCTTATCTCCTTTGCAGCAGTTTTACTTCCATCTTGCCACACCCATTTTGCTGGCTCACCAGTAAACTTAAAATAAGTTTCTCTCCTGGAAATGAGCAGTGCTGACAGCTTTCTGACTGCAATGACTTTCTTTCATATTGTTGAGTTTCTTCTCTTTTCCATAACAATTTTTTTCTCTTAGATATTCCAGCAAACATACCAATACATTATTGAGTTCCTCCTTGTTAGTGACAATTAGATCTCCCTTGTGCCAAATGAATGAAGCGCTGCAGTGAGCAGCTTTCTCAGGGTTACATTAATAAAGCTGTGATGCACACACTTGTCTTCTCACAGTGCAGTTGAAGGTCTTCCTGCATTTGAATAGTCCTGTACTCCAGGTACAAAAATATCGGCGTCCCAAATCTGCCTTCTATCTTTTTGTGGCCTTTCAAAGACATGCGTATGCTGTCTTCTGTTTTGATGTAGCCAGACTTAATGGAAATATGCTTCTACCCTCTGGGTAAGTAGAAGAGTGTAGGTTCCCTGGCAATGAGTCCAGTGGTGGTTTTCTTCCAGTGCTGTATTCACTCACACATTGCTTTTAATAGTGTAAAAGTTACTGTGTTTTTTTCATCACTCTAAGCAAGTAGATGGGAGCCTCCGATCAGCTGTTTGGCAGATGTTAACCAGAATCAGAGGTCCCAACTCAAACAGCCAGAAGGACAACTCAATGAACAAGAAATCAATACCAATAGCTGTAAGACACAGGAATGCAGAGACCTGTTTGAGCCATTCAAAAATCTCACAGGAGAAAAGGTAACATTCTCTGAGAGTAAAAGTAGCGATGTCTCTCATTCTTTAAGGCATTTTGATTTCTTATGTTTGCTGTTGCAAACAATGATTTCTGCTTTTTGCATTTTTTACAACTTTTTCCACTTGCTGCTTTTCTATATTTTGCTGCTGTTTTGAAAGACTGCATTTAAGCTGAAGGGTTTTTTTTCTGTATTTTTCTCTCCCCACTTTTTTCCTTGTTAAGACAGAGAATGAGCAAGGTCGTAGAACTTCTCTAGAAAAGTTCACTCGCAGTGTGGTAAGTTCCTTTTCTTTTCCCTCCTCCGTTTCCTCAGAACTTCATTTTTAGTTGGGAGGAATGTGGATGCTTGACTTTTATTTCATCCTTTATTTTTGCAGCTAGCATCTTTGCAGCTTCTCTCTTAATACTGTAGCTCATCTAAATAGTAGCTCTAGAGAAGGGGTTGGGGGTGGGGGGCAGAAATGCCAGAATGCTCATTCCAGCCTATCATCATTGAAAAAGCAAGTTGATTTTTGTCTAGAATTATACACAAAGTTGTCTTTTTGCTGTGTTCCCACTACAGTATTTGTTGAAGCTTTTCCTTGCTCAATGAAGTAGAAGAGCATGGTTCTCATAGCACCATTGCAACAGTATCCACGTGGTTCCATAGTGCATGGTTAACCATACCATCACATACATATCCACCCACCACACTGCAGCCGCTTCCTCCGCTGCCCCCACCTGCCAGTGCTCATGTAAATAGTGATGTGCAATACCCTTTGACTCACTCACGGTACCAGCACTGGAAAAGGAGCACAGTAATAGCAAGAAACATGAAACACTGTTAAATCTTTTAGACAAGGGGATGATGGGGTCTCAAGGGCAGATGTCCTCCCTCTCTTGTCCTTTGCTAGTCTCCAACCTCTAGCCAGTCCAGGAGGGGGAAGCTGGTCCAGTTGGGAAGGAATGCTGCAGCACAGGGCAGCATTGAACATTGACCAGGGCTGCTTCTCTCCAGCCCCCAGGGTAGGACTCCAGAGCTTGGGCAAGACTAGCTTGTTCCACTTGCTTTCAGGGATCTGTCTGTGCAGCAATTTTTCTTGAGAACAGAAAAAGCAGGGAGAGGGTGCAGGACCAGAGGCAGTGGAGGAGCAGAGATACTGGACAGCACGGGATGGGACAGGCTTTGTGCATGGAGTGGTACAGAGCAAGCACAGTACTAGAGCTGAAGACGTAGCAGCTGGGTCAGTGGGGAATTACTCTTGTGTTGATTATTATCAAGTACAATTTAACTTGATATGTCATATGGATTTGACATACTGCTATGGTCTTCATGTATCACCCAGAGCAATATTTCACCGAAACTTCATAGACTTTGTTATGGCTTTATAACAGCTTTATAATGAAGGCATTAGACTATATGTATATACAGTACATATTGTGTGGTTGACACACCTGAAGGACAGGATGCCATCCAGAGGGACCTGGACAAGCTGGAGAAATGGGCACATGGGAATCTGATGAAGTTTAATAGGACCAAGTTCAAGGTGCTGCACCTGGGTCAGAGCAACTCCTGGTATCAATACAGGCTGGGGGATGAATGAAAAGATCGAAAGCAGCCCTGCTGAGAATGACTTGGGGGTGCTGGTGGATTAGAGGCTCGACATGATCCAGCAATGTGCACTGGCAGCCCAGAAAGCCAGTCATGTTCCATGCTGCATCAAAAGCAGTGTGGCCAGAGTCGAGGGAGGGGATTTTGCCCCTCTGCTCTGGTGAGACCCCACCTGGAACACTGCATCCAGCTCTGGGGTACCCTGTACAGGAAGGACATCGACCTGTTGGAGTGAGTCCAGAGGAGGGACACAGAGTTGATTAGAGGGATGGAGCACCTCTCCTATGAGGAAAGGCTGAGAGAATTGGGATTGTTTAGCCTGGAAAAGAGAAAGCTTTGGGATGACCTAATTGTGGCCTGCTACTACTGGAAGGGAACCTATAAGAAAGATGGAGAACACTTAGTGACAGGACAAGGGGGAATGGATTAAAACTAAAAGAGAATAGGTTTACATTAGATATTAGGAAAAAATTCCTTACTGTGAGCATTGTGAGGCACTGGAAGAGATTGGCTAGAGAAGTTGTGGATGCACCATCCCTGGAGGTGTTCAAGGCCAGGCTGGATGGAGCTCTGAGCAACCTGGTCTAGTGAAAGTTATACCTGCCCATGGCAGGGGTTTGGAACTAGAGGATCTTTAGGGGCCTTCCAATTCAAACCATTCTATGATTCCATGATATTCTTGCTCATTTGTGTATGTATGTATATTTATATAAATCTAAAACATTTTTACATGCAGATGGAAACAGGAAACTGCACAGGTAACTGTGAGCTGTCGTAGAGCAAATACAACTAGAGCGGTTCTTCCTGATGCTGCTGTGCTACTGCGCAAGCAAACCCAAATGTAACACACAAGGCTTTGTAGTATATCCACTGGCAGACTTCCTGGGGAATGTATTTATATAGCTAATGCATATGCACACATTTAAAATATGTTGATACAAAATATATCACTATGCCCATCTGCATATTTACTACTTTCTAAGAGTCTGCCAGGAAGAGGAGTAGGCAAGATTATTTTTTTTAAAGAAACTATGCAGAAATATTTATACCAAGTGGTAAATTCTGCTCCCAGATTTGCCAAATACATGAAAGAGTAACTCTCACTTTACTAGACTGGCTGGGTTTATAGTTGCAAAGCCAAGGATGGATTTTTCTCTTGCATTTGATTTGAAGGGTAACTTGACAAGCTCAGTTTGGGATGGTAGGATTAAAATGTAAGTAGCTGCAAAGAAAATTGTTGTAGATTGGTCGGCACTTTTGTTCATTTTTGTCTTACTGACTAGCATACTGTAAACATTTTCTTTCATTTTTCTTAATACAGATATCCAATGTCATCTTCTGATGGCACAGTAGCTATCACAACTAGGAAGGGTCTAAATTTTTTATACTTTGTATTGTGGCAGTTTGTCACTTCCATCAGATGAGAAAACAGTCACTTTGTTGGCATGTTATAATGTCCTCGGAAGACAGCGTTACCAAATTGGGAACTTTATGGTGTACTCAGGGGACTAAATTAAGATCAAGTTAATTCTGCATGCTCTAGTTCTCCAAAATGCACTGCAGGTCCCCAGCTGTGTAGGAGTGGAGCAATACAGCAGCCCATGTTCCCAGAGCTCCACTGTGCTTTAGTGATTGCTCATTACAGGATCGCATATTCAAGCTGTCCCTGCACGGGCATGATGAAGTTAAGTGTATGGTTAAGGTTTGGCTGGAACAGACCCCCAGTGTTTGGCTCTCTTCAGCGGGGGAGCACTGAGCCTATTTTGCAAGCAGAATAATATGAGGTCACATTTCTCATAGTCAACTTGTCATCTACCAAGACTCCCAAGTTCTTCTCTCCAGGACTAATCTCTAGTAGGTCAGCCCCCAAACTGTATTGGTACTTGGGGTTATTCCTCCCCAGGTATAGGACCCTACACTTGCCTTTGTTGAACCTCATGAGGTTTCTCTCAGCCCAGCTCTCCAGCCTACCAAGGTCCTGCTGAATGGCAGCACAGCCTTCAGGTATATCAGCCACTTCCTCCAGTTTTGTATCATCAGCAAACTGGCTTAGAGTGCATTCTATCCCTTTGTCCAGGTTATTGATAAACAAGTTGAGTAAGACTGGACCCAGTATTGATCCTTGGGGAACACCATTGATCACAGTCCTCCAACTGAATTCTACCCCACTGACGATGATGCTCTGAGCTCTGCCATTCAGGCAGCTCTTCATCCACCTCACTGTCCATTCGTCTAACCCACATTTCCTGAGCCTACCTATGAGGACTTTATGGGAGACAGCGTCAAAAGCCTTCCTGAAGTCAAGTAGACAACATCCGCTGCTCTCCTCTTATTGACCCATTCTGCCATGCCATCGTAGAAGGCTATCAGATTGGTCAAGCATGATTTCCCCTTGGTGAATCCATGCTGACTACTCCTGATGGCCTTCTTTTCTTTTACACGCTTGGTAATGACCTCCAGAATTATCTGTTCCATCACCTTTCCTGGGGTGGAGATAAGGCTGACCAGTCAGTAGTTTCCCACATCCTCCTTCTTGTCCTTTTTGAAGATGAGAGTAACATTAGCTTTCCTCCAGTCATCAGGCACATCTTCTATTCTCCATGATTTTTCAAAGATGATGGAGAGTGGCTTAGCAACAACATCTGCCAGCTCTCTCATCACCAGTGGGTACATCCTATCAGGGCCCATGAATTTATTGGTGATAAGTCTACCTAGCTGATCTCTAACCCAATCTTCTATGATGAAGGGGAGGCATTTCTCCAGGTTTCTTCTCTTACCTCTCAGGTCTGGGATTCCTGATGGCTGGCCTCAGAAGTAAAGACTTGCCAGACTCATTTCCAGCATACTCTAATGATGTTCCTATAGACCTCCGGTGTAGCCTGTTCCTTTTTCCACATCCCAGCTCATCCATGCAGATGTCTTTCCCTCTTTGCCTAATTTCTTGCTCATGGGAATACACTGGTCTTGAGCTTGGAGGGTGTGATGCTTGAATATTGACCAGCTCTCTTGGACCCCCTTCAATTCTAGAACCCTATCCCATGGGATTCTTCTAAATAGGTCTTCGAGGAGGTCAAAGTTAGCTCTCTGGAAGTTCAGGGCTCTGGTCCTGCTTACCAATTTGCTTCCTCCATGCAGGATCCTGAGTTCCACCATCTCGTGGTCACTGATTGAACTGAGGTCCTTGAAGGCTTGGCCTTGCAGCAGCAGTACATAGTCTGTGCCACACACTTTGTCATGCACAGATATGCTACCTCCTGGGGCAGTTCCCAGAGGTCTAAGCCGGCCTGGTGGGGGGCTGCCCAGCCAGATGTGCCCCACAACCTTCATACTCACTGGGAAACCCTGCCAAAGGTATAGGAATTGGAAACATAATGCAAAACTTGGGGTAGAACTCCAAGAACTTGGTTTTGGATAAAACAATGAATTTTAACGTAAATTGCATTTGAATGTCAAGATTTAAATGTGGATTTCAAGAACACAACTTGGAGACGTGTAATTTTGCAAAAATATCAGGAAAATTATTAGTTGAGGAATAACTCAAAGACACTTACAACAAGGAATAAAGTGACCTGACTGTGTTTGTTCTTTCTGCATCATTATGATTATTAGTAAGGTCATAAGAATATTTAAAATGTGTATTAAAAATTCTCTCCCAGCATCAATCAGTTATTGTTTCCTGTAGTGC